CATTTTAAGGGTCAGTTGGAAACAAAAAAAAATTCAAATCTGCTTTAAGTTAAACAAGTGTTTAAAATGCAATTATAACATATGCAAACATTTGCAAATATGTTGAAAAATTTGGCAAAATTATGAAGACAGAAAATATTTATAGTGATTTTAATACTGGTAACATTTTAACCCACCTTGGAAGAGTGCATGTTCATGCATCTAAAGGTTTAGCAGCTATAAATCTAAGTTGTTCCACAATGGGATTCAGGGTTTGTGTACCATTGTCTACGTGCACTTTAAGAAGCATGTCCATCATAGCTGCGAGAAAATTCTTACCAGCATGGGGTAACTGGGAATGCTTGTAATTTTCAGAATGAAAATGGTCAAAAGTCAACATGCCTAAGCATTGCACCAGCATGAGGTATCATCTATTGGTAGCTTCAGTACAAAGATATTGCTACTGACAGCATGATTTAAAAAACCCTCTGGGAACATGTAAGCTATACTGTATATACAGTATTTTGTTATTGTGTTACTGGTCTGAGACAATGGTAGTGGAATCAGAAGACATATCTTTTTCCAAGCATTCTAGGCAGAACTGCAGAACAGGCAAAGGTACTGTACAGCAGACAGGCTGGAGATCAGGAGGCCGTTTCATATTCACTGGCTCTGCCATGGCAACACTTGGCAGTGGATGCAAACAACAAGTTCTGCTTTGAAGCCCTTGAGCAAGAAGGTTCCCAGCACTGAAAGTGTGGTTCATTTTTAAGGCTCAAGAATGCAAAGCAGATATTTGCTCAAAAATCAAGAACATTTTCACTGGGGAAAATCCGTTAAATAAAGATTAAATAGTCTACTCTCAACCTAGTCTGTCAACAGTAGTACATCTGAAAAGTCATCATGAGGAAAAAAGCCTCAATAATGTGCAGAAGTCCATCCACTCTGGTGGTCCTCCAGTTCTTCTTTCCTCACCAGCCAACAATTCAGACATTAAACATCTCCTTTGTTGTTCCAAATAAAAAGGCCTTTTCATCATCAACATTTTGTCCTGGAGAAACTGAGTGATGAGTTCCAGTGAAGAGCTGTGGTGTCAAAACAACATGAACAATGATTTAAAAAAAAAGAAAAAAGCATACGGGAGCTGAAATCAAAAACTATGTCTCAGATATAAAGCTCCAGCTATTGTCGGTCTCGAGTTTGTAATAGCTTACCCGACTTTAATTATTACCACATAAGTAATCTTAAAGGCACAAATTGATTTTTTGGTTTTTCACATTAAATTGGAACCTACAGGGACCCCAGTTTCCACAGTATTTGAACATTATCCTCTTTTGAAATCAAGTTTTCATTTAAAAGCTATTAACAATTTTTCAAACACAAATGGATGTATGGCCCAGCAGTATGCAGTTATTTTATCATGGATGACATCACACTGACTGTATGACTGAACGAATGCAATCACTTGAGTTAAGGACTTTGGTAGGATGAAACAATTATTTTATTTATAGTGGTAAAAGGACGGTGCTGATCTTTGATAGCTGTTTGTATATGTGTGTCTGTATATACTGTATATGTATATAT